TGGTGCATTTGCATATGAATGCAGCACCACACGCACCACCACCCGCACCACCACCCGGATTGTGAGACCTCTCCTGCTTACATATTACTACTACTCATGTCTGACGGATACTGTGATGCAGTTCAATGTAAATCTTACACTTCTCCATTGAAGTCCTCAGGACAGGTTTACAAAAACATACACTGTGCTCTCTGCGATGGACTATCCCTCACAGCCACTACACATTTAGATTGTGTCACTGTAGCAAACGAAGTTGACTGTTTTCCGAATTGTATCTCACTAACCCATTTGTTCAATTTTAATGCTAAAGAGAACAGCCCTAAGCAGTGTCCATCAGATAGTGTATACGATCCTTTTGTTGACACATGTCGGCTTTTCTCGTCCACTCACGTCTCAACAAACAAAAGCAGCGTTTTTCAAAGCTGCAACACCACTACCTTAAATTTTACAGCGGAAGAATTCAATAGTTTTCCCAATGATACCGTAGACATGTTAAATTCCAACGTATCTTGCCCAGGTGAACAGACCATTAGAAACTGCAGCAGATCAACACTGATTTTCACCAAGGAAGAGTTTGATGTTCTTTCCAATGGTAGTGTTCACCTGTTGAGTTCTAACGTGACTTGCCCTGTTGAACAGGTAGCCATTCTGAACACAACAGCGTTGGTTTGCGGAGAGTGTATACTGCAGTATTTCCTTAATGCCACAATCAATGATCAAACAAAAAACAATTATGAAGCAACTCAAGGTTGGTTAACCTTGGGTCTTGTGATTGTGTCTGTCATAGCCGTCTGTGCTTTCATAGGATACACTATCAAATCTGGCCAGTGGAAGAAAGTACCGGCAAAGCTGAAGGTGCAAATGTTGGCTTGTATTGCAGTCGGGGAATCCCTTTTTGTAGCACGTGTGCTCCCTCCACCCGGGGTAGTCTGTGTGGTGTATGGTATAATCCTGCACTACTTTCTGCTGACTGCCTTCACGTCTATGAACACGCTGGCTTTGGATCTCTTCTTCACATTTCGTGATGGTTCAGAAAGACCCAAACTGCACAGCTACGTGTTGTATACCTGGCTGATGCCGTTGCTTGTAGTGGCGGTGACGGTGTTTGTAGAGTTCTGTCCCTGCAGCTCAGTCAGGGTGGAGTACGGATTTCACTGTTGGATTGGCAACCCGAATGGCAGTTTGGTTGCTTTTGGAGTTCCAGTTTTCTCTGCCATTCTGATCAATGTCGTGTTGATCACTTTGGCTTTGATGGCCATACGGAAATCATTTAAGATTGCCGACGCCGCTTTGTCTCGCTCTTGGAGCAGTAAGGCCTGGGTTTATTTCCGCATTTCCTTTCTGATGGGGTCTACTTGGATTTTCGGTTTTATCGTGCCTTTTGTAGGCAGCAGGGTTCTTGAGTACATCTTTATTGTACTTAATGCTTCTCAAGGCTTTCTACTGGCACTACTGATGACGTTGACAGGAGATGTGATACAGAGTTGGGCCTCTGTGATCAGGGCACGCCTTGGTCTGGGTGAACCTAATCAGAACAATGGGCCAACTGTCGGCAGTCAGCAGACTGTCCCGTGCACAACAGGCATAACAGCTACTGGAAGTAGTGCAGCTACAGAAGATATACCCATGACAACCTTTGCCGAAGTTGAGGAAAATAAGGCAAAAGACAAACATTTAGTGAGCATTCCTGAAGGCGAAGGACAAACACATAGTGACTAATTTTCTTTTTAACTGTTATACTGAATTTCATTTTCAACAAATACATTACATGATGCCAATGGTGTTTTAACTTGCCGTTTAAGGGATAACTGTCAAGTATGACATCACACCATACGTGCAAAATTAAAAAAATTGCAAAAAAAATTATAGCCATAGCGATGTCATATCTCATCAATGCTTCTGTTTCTTTGAAAACATGATTACTTGCAAAAAAAGATCATATAACATTATGGATACGTACTAATTGTAAAATACTGGGACGGCTGTTTAACGACCCAGCTGTGGACAGTAATTAATTCATACCGTTTGGTGTTTGGAATGCATGTAAACATAACAGAATCACATATTTGAAAAATGCAGATGTGATTCCTAATAAGATTTGATTCGAAGGGACGCTGTGGTGCTTTTTAGCGTCGTCTCTCGACAAATAAAATATGTTAGGAATGCTTTCAATTCAAGTCTTGAATAAGCAACTCATACTGTTTCTTATAAGATAATTTTGGCTCTACGAATTAGATTGTATAAAGTAAAGAAATTGATAGTCTAATTTTAAGGAAAGTTATTTCTATACTCTTAGTGAGAGTTTAAGATACATGTAGAAACTAGTATAATAACATTTGATCATATGGAAAGAACATGTAAGGCAAATGTATACACATTTTTGATTTCAATATACATACTGAGTCACGCATTACCAGCTTGTGGTGTAATAGTTGAGGTGGCTGTTCAGATGGGTTTAGTTGTGAACAATTCTCGCATGTGATGCTCATAGATAAATACACGGGCGAGTCACAAGACATATTGTCTGATAACATGCGGATTTCCTTTGTTTAATTACAAGATCAATTTATAACCAGATCTGTGGAAAGGAAATATAATAGCACATCTATATGTGATGTTCTTGGATAGCTATATGAAACTTTATGTAGTAGTATTACAATCATTTCTGACAGTATATTTTTGACTGTTGTGTATTCCAAAGATTAATGCTTAGCATGGATTAATAAACACATGTATAGTCTTAAATAAAGATTACATTGTCTGAGTTTTTTCATCTTAAAAATTTGAACTTTGCGTAATAACATTAATGAACATAAATGTATAGATGTAGACTGATCTGCAAATTTAGCAGATAAATGTGTTAAGTGAGTAAAATTTAGGATTCGATTGTTTGAAATATTGAATTTTTGATTCTCTTTTAAGGTTTAATTTTCCAACTCCATATTATTGCCCATTCACATATATAAAAAAAAAATACTGTAGCGACATAGGTTAAACATACAACTCAACCAAAGACGTACATGATTTTCCATATTCAAGCAAACTTGACATGAAAAAAGGAATCGAACTACAAACAAAATAGACGTAAAGGTTTTCAAGACAATCTTATCTATAGAAAGGAAGAAACTTTAGTAGGCAATCATTCTCTTTCCTGCTATGGTTGATATTGTATATTTTCTGTAGTATTTTGACCACTTTAAAAAAGTCAAATTTGTACAAAAATAAAACAAATACAAGGAAAACATCAGGTATACTTGGATGTTAATTCATGACATCCATCTTTATGTAATTAAATTCTATCCAAGTCTGCTGTGTTCCATGATATAACAACTTAAACAGTTAACATGTATTTGAGAACAAACTTTAAAAATATATTGATTAGGTACATAATAAGTTATAACCGATTAAAGAATCAACAATACTTATGCGTACCTCTACTAGAACTGTGTCCTGTATTTTGATATCTGGGACTCTATGAAGCATAATCAAAGACTCCATAGGATGACAGCATGCTATTGGGATTTTAAGAGGTTCTTGATGCATGCGGCATGCGACTAATTTTATTGACTGTTCCTAATATGAGTTTCAATTTCCATTACAATAAAAGCAGAATTTGATATCCGTCCACAG